TGACATGCAAAAATTCAGATTCAGGGAGGTAACAAAATAGTTTCAAATAGATAAAACACATTTTACTTTAATAAAATATAACAATAAAATCACAGACCATCTAAAAAAATCTATACTTTATATTATATAACTTGCATCTTTATAATATGCCTAACAACTAAGCCAAACTGTAACTTCAATATCCACCTGCACTGTTTATACTGAAAACTAGCTACATTTCACATACAACATCAAAGAACTCTTTACTTTCATACAGCTAAACAACTATTTTGATTTACTATCAGGACCAGTGTTTGTGCCTTGGGTCTGCTGGGCAGTTGCCAGGGATTGTGCCAGAAACCACTTTTCAATGATAGTGTTATCTGACCTGATGAACAGGCAAACAAACTTCCATCCAGCCTGCAGTAACATGGACCCATACATTAGTCGGGTGGACTGACCACTGGTACCCTTGGCCCCCCATTTTGACTTCTCAGTATTATGCTTGATCAATTCTTTGGGTAATAATTCTTGGACAGTGGACTCATTTGGACCCTGAGGGCCTATAATTTGTATGGAATGTGCAGCACTCTCCTTGATTTCCAGGTAAAATCCTCCTGAGGAAGGTTCCTTTGGAGGAGGGGGTGGTTCCTCTTGCTTGGTCATCTCATGCAGACAATCCAATAAAGGTTTGATCTGGAAAAAGTCAGCCTCCTTGAGGAGTTGAGAGAACTCGATAAAGTTTTCAGGCAAACTCAGATCTCCTGATCTTAAGAAATTAAGCACATATCGAAAAAGAACCCCATCTCGATCAATAAAATAATTTCCTTTGTTATCTCTTGTTGTTGGCATTGTACCACTGAACATGGCTCCTAGCATAGAATCTGGATATCTTAATAGAGTGGAGCGAGAAGTAGTATACACAACTCCACCAACATTGACATTTACAATCTCTTCTTGGCCCATTCTTTTATTATAATTTACATCCGAGTTCCTACAATGTGCACAACAGGGTGAGGTCCCTGGATCACCATTGGGGATTGACTTTGTAGAACAAGGGGTGTTACACTGATTTTCATTTTCTCCCTGATTGTCTTCTGAGTTGAAGTAAGCAAAAGTGGTATTTCCATTCTGCATGCTGTAAATTCTTAATGTATCATAGTAAGAGCCAAACTGCTGGAATGAAGTAAAATTTTCCCTGATACCTCTGTGGTAAGTGGTTGATGTACCTTTGATGCTTCTACTGGAAATAGTATGTTAACTCATCTCTGTCTGGAAGTAAAGTGGAAGTGATTTAAATATAATTGTGTAGTAACAACAAAAATAAATATCTCTAGCTAAACCAATGCAATTTGAAAGTTATGTAAACTTGAAACAAAAAAGTTCATAAAAATGAAAATGAAAATACAAATTACCAGTTCAACTAAAAAAAATTGCTGACATCTCTTCTATGTTCATCTGTATTTGAACAGTGTGATCTGAAGTCTGGCAAATCACTATCATTTACATACATGTCCAATCAGCATATAAACATGAACCAAATGGATTCCTAGCAACACTACTGGTAAAATCAACACAGCCGGATGCTAGTAATAACTTAGACTGGTGCATTCATACGCAAGAGAGCTGTTACTACCATACTAACAAGAATGTGAACTACACATTTAAATCAAACCAAGAAAAAGAATGTAGTTCTTACCTTGGTGTTAGCCAAGTTTACTGTAGGTTAAAATGCAGATGGTGTCAGTTCCACTCTATGAAACTTGGTGGACATAGCAGTGGTAAATTAGTGATAATGAGGTAAAGTAAGAGCACACCAGTGTTCTTTATGCCTGAGACTGAATGCCAGCCAGCATGAACAGAATCCACGCATGCACACTATAAAGAGAGATCACTAGTATTATGTTGGTGGTGTGCAGGTAGAACTTCTGTTGTTCGTCAACTTTATATTATCAACAGTTAATCACATATGCCTGTGCTGACACATTTCAGCATTTTCACTGCTGGCTAGCTGAACATTCTGCACCTTTGTCCAAGGGAAGACGGATGGGGAAAATTTGTCAATCTATATTGGAAGCTTCAGGGAAACTGGAGTTTTCTGCCAGAAATAAAATAGATAGGCTTGTTACATTGTACTGAAGCTAATGATACTCTGATCTTTGAAAAAAAGCAGTATCAATAAAGCTCCCTACAGTGTATTTCCCACAGCAGAAGTTGGATACATCTGTAAACTTTATGGGTTGATCATCTGCACCCTTTTAAGCTTCATCATAAAATCAACACTGTAAAAAAATCTCAACTCCTAACCCCCCCTCCCTGTTCCTTGTGGTCACTGCTAAGGTAACATTTTACTATATTACCATTGACAGCTATCTGTTGCGTACTATCATCTCAGCCAGTCATGATGAAACTACATCTGCTCAATGCTCTCGAAAGTCACCTATCATAGAGTGCAGATTAACAAACCTCAATATGGTATTTGATGGCCCAACTGAACCCTGAGTAAATAGTTTTCTACAAAAAAGATTTCATTAATGAAAGGATGCCTGACCTTTGCATTCAAGCAAGCTACACAACCTTGCTATGGCAAGGCATTATCATATGCTATAACTTGCTCGATCTGCTACTCACTCATTATTAATCTAACCCGTATTAATAATCATACATTATCAAAAAGTATCAAAACACAAAATATGATAACGAACATAGCCTACTTTTATAGTTTGCTTATATTTAGAAGTTAACCTTAATATTTCTATTTTAATGATGGTAATGCTACTTCACAAAGTATCTGTAGAAATATTTATGCCTATAATATACATTATATATAATATACATTCTAAAAGACAATAATAATTCTTTTTTTTCTGTTCTCTGACATATGCATAACACCACAAAACCACACTAAAAAGACATGCATGTCCATTTGAAAGTCACTTGGTTGTGCTAGCTGAGCCAAGTTGTGCAGAACACAATTCCTTTCTTGAACCACTTCAACAGCTCTTTTCAACACAATAAACCATTACTAGCACATGAGAAGAAAAAATAAATGCATATCAAAATCTTTAGTCTTCTAATTTGTTGTATTTCCCATTTTTAAAAAATACTCTATCACAATCACCATTTCCTAAGGTAACAAACTGAACAGATTTTTCAATAGCCAAAGTTTCACCATTCTATTTAATAGCTTCAGACACCAAAAGATTATCTGAACAGAGAATCAATCTGGATGAAAGACCTGTCAATTAAATCTTTAAAAACATATACCTTCATTTATTTCAATGTACGAGTGCGGGTCTAGACTTAGTCACGTGCCCCACCAGGAGAACAATAGCACTGAAGCACTGGCTAAGAATGCACCATGAGCATTATGCTAAAACAATATTTGACAAAATACGCGGGTTTGATTTCTCAAATCTTCTCAGTAATGGGCTATAGAAGTAGATCGATGCACTCCCTCTCCCATTCTACAATCAGACCTGGTAAGTATTGAAAGTATATCGTGGAAATTCCAAATAAGTTGAGTTACTGAAATCTTTTATTCGGGTCTTGACTTGTGTATTGTTGCAAATAATACTTCGTTACGCTTGAATACACCAAGACTTTGGAGCGAACGAAAGGTTGGAAGGCCTAGAGCTGTAAATTCTAGTTTCAAAAGATAAACACTTGCTTACCTTCAAGGGTGTATATTTCTGTGTTAACAGCCCTGGTTACAGCTTACTAGTACATTAGGATTTCATCTTCATTGATGTAAAACATAATATAATTCGCGAGTAGTACGGACGAACATAGGGCCAATTCTATAGATCATCAAAACTGAAGTAAACAATATAAACGGCATAAGACTGTATCTTATTATATTTATTGCTCTTTTGTTGTAATTCATCTCATAAAATATTGAATACATACTTTGGAATTAGCATTTTTGTGTAGGAACCACATGTCCATCATTACGTAGCGCTATAGAGGTGGTTGGATCTAAAATTAGATTTTCTTATCATCGGGTGAATGGCAAGTACAAAATAAATACCTGACAGCGTGGCTGCAGCACCAAGGCTGACAAAATGCGTGTCTGTTTACACTGATAATGACACGATGTAGGGACGGAGGTTGCGTTATATCAACAAGGATCCACTGGGGATTAGGGTCCATTAACTGGGTTAGCTCACAGAAAACGCACCCTTCTATTCATCAGAGTCTAGTCAAATTCAGCGATACTTGTCTCACGCTCACACAGTGTTCATTTACAATTTTTATTTTACGAAAAACATTGATATTAAGGTGCCAAGATGTCTGAAGTGACGCCAGAAATTCGCGCATCTGCTCTGAAGTATTGTCAGCAGCTTTTACATGGCGCCTGGAAAGAACTGAAACAAGATCGTTTCCAAATCAAACAAGTTAGGTAAGAATAACCCGTACGTGCTCTAGTGCTTTTATCTTTGAGTGAGTCGTTTGGTTATTGACGTCTTGTATTTCTCATTCTTTTGAATAGTTTAACTGTAATATTACCTGTTGCTTCTGTTAATACTAGTACTATTAAGTTGTATATAGAAGTATAAATTGACACGCTTTCTGTTTTTATTGAAATATAACACATTTCAACTAAGTACATCTGACTAAAAACTGTTTTGTAGAAAGTTAATTTGAATTTTGCATAACCTAAATTTTACTATCTGAAAATACGTTTTATGCTATTCATTTTGTTGAGCCCTAACCAGAGATTTAAAAAAAAAACAAAAAAAACCTGACATCAAAGAGACAGAGGCAGCACTGCTTTTTACCTCTTACATATGGTTAATGATTTAAGTTAAGAAAACCACTAAATCCGCGTAACTCTGGTTATGTTCTGATCTCTGAATTAAAGTAATACCAATTAGTATAGGGTGTCATATTCATTTTTGAGAGCTTGTTATGAACTCCTTAGAATTTTTTTTGTCCAGCTATTATTAACAAGTTATTGTGTCTGGGTTGTTGATGAAAGATAAAAACATTGTGCATATAATGCACATTTTTATTGTTGTATGCCAGATTCTCATTTGTTTTTTGTTTGTTTTTTAAAATATTACTAAACCTGTACAGGCAGGGTTATTATTTGATGAACATGATTTAATCAGTTTTAATTTCATTCTGATGTATGATGTAGTGGAACTTGAACAAATCATTAAAAGATTTTATAGCATAGAGGCAGACTAAAGATGAAATAAAATATAAATATTGAGAACTTGCTCCAGTAAATTAATGTACAAATGCAATTTAATATCTGCCTGTGCTGAATGTTAGCACAGAGCAGTTTTCTCTATTGTGATCTTTCCATGTCTCGGTGTGCTGACCAAGTAAAGTATTTGCCTTAAGATGATAATGTTCTTGTTGGTCATATGATGTTGGCATAAACCAGTTAAGGAATTTGTTTAATTTGTAAAAAATGTACTTGTGTAAATCTTGGAAGAAAATTCTAATATTGATTTCTTTCCTTATTACCTTAAGCACAGTAAGTCCAAAGTCCACCTCAGCAGTATGTTTATTGATTGTATGGATGTGTAGTTGTATTTCAAGCTCATTGAATCATCAGTCACATGCTTACCATCTTCCTTTATATAAAGTGTGAAAGATATATTTCTTTAGCTTGACACTGTTCCAAATAGTGAACAGTCTTTTAAGATACTTTATTTTAGATAGAAAAGACATGAAGACAGACAGGGAGATATACGTATAATACATATATATAACTTTTTGAAAGATTAAATTTTTTCCAAGAAAAAACACCCAACTTGTTTTGTATCTTTAAAGAGAATATATTTTGAATAGAGATATAATGTTTGTTGTGGCATTACAGTGAAGATATCATTAATATTCAACAGAGAAAATTACTTGAGTCCAAAAAGAACAACAGGAGAGTATTATCTGTGAGTATGTCGGATCCAGCTGATTGGGGAATATTGTAGATATTGCAGTGTATTCTTTAGGAAATACATACATAATGTGATATAATCAGTAGAGGCCATTGCAATTGTAACATTTGATTGGTCAGATTGAATTGACCTTAGGTGCTCAGGGTTGATAGTATGATCCTAACACCAAAAGTGAATGTTTATTTATCAATTATAGCAAATAGCGGAAATAAAAGATATTAAATATAATTGGGAGATGGTTTTCATAATTCATTGGCAAAATTACTGCAGCCTTTAGAGTGCTTTAGTTATACATGTATTACTTGCGCAGTGTCATAATGCAGTGCCAGATGTCTCTGCTTAAGGGTGCTTTATACATCCAGCTGGTCTGGGGGATTCCTTGATAAGTATTTTCAAAACCACTGTTACCAGAAGCAAGTGAATAAATACTACCCCACCTTCAATAATTGCCAACCTCGTTAAGTATCCATGTCAAGGTGTTCCTGCTCGAGCAACACAGGGTGACTCCTCATCTCCACCAACACCAACCATTATTGAACCGAGCAAATAATTTCTTCCTCTCCTTTCATATAGCAACTATAAAAGTTATAATTATGCATACTTAATTTTGTGGGTAAAAATGTTATTTATTTCGGGTTTCAAGGGTATCTCAGTCCCAGAGCAGGTATAGCTCATTATAAATTCTTACAGCTTTGTGTAGTCATTGAGAAGTGCTACAAAAGGTGTTTTTTTTAAAGGTATCTTGCATATTTTATCAGTAAAAAGCGTGAAATTATCCCTTTCTACATTTTTTTGTATTACTGGGGCCTTATGTCTGGAACAAAATGTTTTATTCAAAATCATGGACAGAATTCCATGCATGTTTCCTGCAAATATCTACTCAGTCACTGAGAATTACATGATTGTTACTGTATCCCAAATGATTAACTAATTAAATTTCAAACCATATCTGATCCATAACCAAAATTTTAAAAGGAGAAACTGCCCATTAAACTTCCAGAGTGGAACTGCCAGTTCAGCTATCTTTCACCTGTATAGCAATGATTTATTAAGTGTAAGCAACCTGCCTGTATGTAATTTTAACAATTTACAAAGATGAATATATAATTTAAAGTAATATATATATGTTTTTTTGTATTACTGACACACACACACACACACACACACACACACTTTTGCAACAGATTTTATACTCTGCTGTGAAAAAAATAATTTTCTTTTCACATGATTGAAAAATAAAATTCAAACAAGATCACATAGATATCTTCTTTAAGATAAAAGACTGTGTGAACACAAAGGACTAATAAAAAAAATCACCCTCTCCCCTTCATTTTGCCTGTCAGACTATTCTGTTTGTTAATAATAATATAATAATATATTTATTTCAAGTCTAAAATCCATAAAATGTTCAATAGACTGTACAACATAAAATACAAAGAAGTTTATAGATAAAAATGGTTAAGATATATTTTATATAAATAAGAGCTAAACTAACTTAATTGTAATAAACAGTAATTAAAAGTAAAAAATCCAAGGTTTCTTTAAAATTATAAAATTTAAGATTCATGAATAAAATGTCTTAAAAATATGAGTTTTTAATTCCTTTTTAAAAGATTCTTGTGATTCTATTTGTCTAATAAAAATTGGCAACTTATTCCACTCTACTGGTGCAGCTACACAAAATGATATGTCACCATATGATTTGTTGCAGAGATGGATACTGAATTTGGCTGATAGCATTCCCCATGTTCTACAAAGCCTCTTCATGCAATACATGATAACAGTTATGTCATGCAATACACACATAATGCTACCAGTTCTGGGTTGGTTATGGTAATGTCTTTGTAACAGTATCAGCTATCTGGTTGAAATATGGTGACTTACAAGTAACATAATTTCATGCTAATTCTACATTACCAAGCCCGATGTATGACTTATATGATGTATTTAAAATATTGCAATTGTTATTGATTATGTAGATGGTACATTGATGACCAGTTTGGTACTGTATTTCCAGTGGAGGTCTCAGTAATTACCTATATGTATGCTCACTTCCTGAAGATGGACACGTGCAGAATGGAGAGCCCAGGCAGATCCTGCTCAGATACTATGGAGAGATCTTGACTGGCAATGCAGATGCTGTTGTCCTAGACTCTGTTGTATTTGCCTTATTATCAGAGAAAAAACTGGGCCCCAAGTTATATGGAGTTTTTCATGGAGGCAGGTTAGAGGAATATATCCCAGTAAGTGGTGACTTGTTACAGAGAGTATTTTGGTTCACTGAAATTTGACATGAAGCTCTCAATTGTTCTCTTGAGTTTGGTTTTGTTAAAATAGAAAATGTACATGCTTAATGTTTCATATTTTTTTGCTATCATCAAAACTTCTACTTAACTGGTCATATTCAATCCACAAAAATAGTCATTTTGGTTGGCATTTTTTAAAAGGTGTGACTTTGAATTCCGATTGGCCTGAAGACCTCTGCTAGTTACATTTTCTAAATATCTATGTTAGCTATATAAACATGTAAACATCAATATTACATATTTTTGAGGGGATTTTTATTGTTTTTGATCAGCTAAAAGTTAGATGCATTATTGAATAATTAGATGAAGGAAAAACCTTATTTTTGGTATCTGGATGATAATTAAAGGTTACGATGCCTTAAGCATTATGTAACATTGCATCAAAATTGATAAAAAAATTCATGTACTTTTACTACAAATACACTGAAAGAAAAACTGTGTTACTCATTATTTTGTAACTTACAAAAGTGATTGATATACAGCTCAAATTTGCAAACCAGCTTGATTGAATTATTTTTATATCTTGTTGTTTGTACATTTGACAGCTTTGCTGCCTTGTTAATTTGTGAATTTGAACTCTCATGAGCTTGAAGCCTTATGCCAGTTACATACTCTAAATATCCATGTTACCTGTTGTGCATATTTAAATTTTGGTGTTGATTTTGCCGTTAAACATTATGTAATATTGCATCAAATTGACAATATAACCTATTGTGTGCACCATTTTTTTGCTATTATGTCTGTAGATTTGACAGCTTTGCTGCTTGGGTTATTATTATTATTATTATTATTATTATTTTTTTTTTTTTTTTTTTGGGGGGGGGGGCAGAATTCAATTTAATATTTTAACTGAACTACTGCCAATTTGTCCAGGATCAAAGTACAGTACAAATTTTTCGGATACTGTAATTTTTAAAGTCTTGAGTTCTTAAAATAAGAACATCCCTATGGAGTGGTAGCAAAAAATTGAAAATTAGCCTACTTTATACATATATATATATATATATATATATATATATATATATATATATATATATATATGGGGAAAATTTATTGTTGATTTAGACCTTTTGGTGCATGTTTATAGAAACCTGTTTAAAAACTAAATAAATCTGCTATTTGAGGTCATAAAATGCTTGGCAATTTGACAACACTGGATGTAATTGCACTATTAACTTGAGCCATATGAAATTAAAGTAAGGGAATGGATTTTCAATTCTCTGTGGCGTAAAAGAATTAGATTACACACCTGACAATTTGCATCTATGATTTTGTTTTTACATTTCAGTCTCGTAGTTTGACTACAGCAGAGTTGAGGGTTCCTTACATATCAAAGAGGATTGCACAGGTCATGGCTAAGTTCCATGTGCTGGACATGCCTGTCAACAAAGAACCTGTTGCCATGTTTGAAATGATTGCAAAGTAAGATTTGAAATTCATACATTTGGATTTCAATTTTTTCAATGTTTTCAAATTTTTTATATCATATAAAACATTAAAAAATCATAACTTAGGTGCTTTTGTAATTTCACAATAAGTTTGTCTTATTATTCTTATTATTCAGAGATATTGCTACCTCTTCACAAAGTATTAATTTGTAAGTGATCACATTACTCAGATGTGAATTACATCTCTTCACTTGGCTTTTTCTGATAATGCATTTTAGTGCATTAAAATCCTTCAAAGGTTAATAAGTGGATATTTTATGAAAATAATAAAAGGAATGATTTTATGATTTATTACATAGACGTTTTGTTTTCTGTTTAAGGTGGCTCCAGGAAGCTTCATCACTTACTTTGGAAAATGCCAAACCCTACGACAAGGTGCTATTAGAGAAAATTTTCTCCTTCAAGATAGAAGCAGAATTTGAAACACTTAAGTAAGAAAATATAGCTGAAAGTATCTACACAATTACCAAGGGAAAACAAGTAACATGAAATCCACTGTCATCTTAACCAAGGGTTCAGTTTATGAAAATTTTACATGTAGGCACCTGACATAAAATAACAGAAGAATTATTTTAAACTTCCAGTTTTATCTTAAGATGCATGTATTAAATTTTAATAATAATAATAATAATAATAATAATAATAATAATAATAATAATAATAATAATAATGTGTATTTATTTGCAACTTAAAAAGTTGGATTTTACAATAAAAACAAAAAGTCGTGAGATGCACAATCTTAAAATATACTTGTAAATATACTTGTAAGTGTTAAAATGATTCGATACACATTAAAAATTCATAAAAACCTCAGTTCTTAAAATTTGATAAAGCCCATGGGATAAAAGTTTTTGATGATCGTACAGTCCTCAATTTTGGCACAGTGTACTTATAAACTGGCGCAAAGTGTAGGAACTTTCATTTATCTCTGGTAGCAAATGTATTGTAAGATAATGGATAACATTTATTTCACATACTTTTTAAGTAAAAATGTGAAATATATTTGTATGTCCATAACTTTAAAATATGTATATAAGCAGATTCCACAAATGTTTTGTAAACTACTGTTTAATAGCCTTTGATTATTTCTTTGTAAATTATTTCAGAGATTTTGTGATTGGTGTCAATTCACCTGTTGTCTTCTGTCACAATGATCTACAAGAAGGTAAGCATTAGCAATTGTTTGTTGATTACATAATATATATAATAGTCTTGTGCAACACAACCAGAAATTCATAACCAGTGTTTTAGTCAGGGCACAATATTGTAACAAAATTGTTATAGTGAAGAAGATATAGTAGCTTTGAGATTTCTTTGTTTCAGGCAATATTTTATGTTTTGGGGATACTGATGACATGGAATTGATGGCCATAGACTTTGAATATTGCAATTACAACTACAGGTAAAGTGAATTTATATGGACTGCTAATTTATATCTTTTTAACAACCTATGCAATGTCAAGGTGTGTCTTATCACTTACTAAAAATTTTTGTTATGTTGATTTAAATTCATGTTGTGAACACAGTTTGATTTTTTTGATGAATTTTGAACTCTGCTATATGGAATCTTATCTCTGTAGATGATAATTTTATTTTGTGTATTGGATTTAGTGTTTAATAAAAAAAATACACCTCTCTAAGTACTTTTAATAATGTTTTGAGGTGTTTTGCAAACTCAACAGTCTTTTAAAAGATCGGTATATATTGGTTTCAGGGGTTGTGATATTGCCAACCATTTCAATGAGTGGGTGTATGACTACACTTATGATAAATTCCCTTTTTACAAGGAAAGTCGAGAAAATTATCCATCAAGGGAAGAGCAGGTATTCTTTTTAGGTTGACATATAATATTAAATAATTGACATATAATATTAAATAATTGTGAATATTACTGAGGTTCCCATAAATATAACTCTGGTTGTGACATTATGATAATATTTGGATTTTTGGTCCTTGCAGATTTTCTTCTTAAAGGCTTACTTGTCTGCCAGTGGTGAAAATGAGGATGAAATAGAACAAAAAGCAGAGTCGATGCTTTATGAATGCAGTGCCTGTGGCCTAATATCTCATTTCTTGTGGGGCACATGGTCTCTTGCTTGCTCAAAGATCAGCCATATTGAATTTGGATATTTGGTGAGAAAAGAGATACAATGCTACATTTGCAAATAAGTATACACCCCACTTTTTGCTTTAAGCTAAAAGATAATTTAAATAATAAAATTACTTGATGCTTTAAGGTTTTAAGTAGTTTTTCATATTCATTACCGTAAACTACCAAAATATGCATTTGCATTGTCACCATTTTACTATAAAAAGAGAGGTTTCGTTTGTTATTTGAATCTGTTCATTATAAACTTGTCTACACTTTTTTTCAGGATTATGCATTGGTCAGATTTGAGGCATACTTCAGACAGAAAGCTGAGTTAGCCCAAATAAAACCACCAAAAAAAGGATGAGGTTCTGGGCAAATCTTTTCTAGCAGTTAAACTATCTGCCGTCCTTTTGACACTTTTCTCAGTGAACTTTTTTGGCATTGTAGGGCAGTGAAAATGATGAGTTGCAGTTCCTTCTTTTTTATGTACAGACACAGATGTGTCAGTACATGTAACTGCCAGCTGTGTCTGTTGTCGCAGTGCACTTTCACTGTTACAACGATAAGTGAAGAAGTATGTGAGCTTTTGTCTTCAAACATACAGAACTGATGAATATTCATAAATTACAGGTCAAGTTTGAAAATTGGCTTGATTCGACCATTTTCCCAAAAGTTATGCTGTTTTTTAAATTTTTTCAGCATATTTTATCCACTGTTCTACAGATAAAAGAATAACCAGTTTACATTTTGTCTTCAAATTAACAGAACTGATGAATATTCATAAAATACAGGACAAGTTCTAAAGTTGTCCTTTTTATGCTTTTTTACAGCATAATTTATCCAGTGTCATACAAATAACATAAAAACTATGCCTTATTTTTCTTTAAAACTAGTTGGACTGATTCAAAGAACTAATATACAGATCGAGTTTGAAAATTATCTTGATCGGTTTAGTTTTGATAAAGTTTATCCACACTTTCTCAGCATTGCAGCATTAGGTAATATTGCATCAAAATTCACTTAACAAATATAAAAGGAAGACTGCATCTTCACAGAACTTAAAGCCTCAACTGAGAAAGTCAGTTTGTTTGGATGAACATCCAATATAAGATAATAAAGTTATCAATTTTTGTTCCCCTGTATGTCTGACTTACTTACCACATGTAGACTTTGAACTCTTATATGGGCTTGAAGCCCTATGCTAAGTACTGAAGCGGTGGTGATAATGCTGTTATGCATAATAAAATGTTCATTGCTTTTAAATAGATATATATATATATATATATATATATATATATATTTTTTTTTTCTTTTTTGTGCAACATTTTTCCTGTTTTTTGTTTGTACATTTCACTGCTTTTCTCTCGTTAATTTTTTTATTTACCAGATAAGTTGTGAAAGACAATGTCATTTTAAGCATTCCCATAAATTTTAATGGTATATTTTATTTGTGTCTCAGTCAGGAGGCCTCTTTGAGGGAATGAGTGAATAGGGAACATATTACATTAGTACATCATAGCATTGAAATTTTTTGTATGTTGTCATCTCCTTGAAATTAGCCACCTTGATATTGTTTCTACTGGATACATACAATAGACTGAAATATTTTGTCCATTATAGATCAATTTAATTTGTTCTTTTAAGTCTGATGTGAATGTTAATATTGAAAGCTACTGGGGCCAGCTGACTGGAAAATTAAGACAATCTGATATGTGATATTAGAAATTTTCTTTGTTGAGTACTACAATCTACACCAAATTTAAGAGGTTAACTGTACCCATAATCCTGAAGTAGTTTAGTCATATAGTTGTGGTACCCCATTTGCTTTAATATACCAAAAATTATAATGTATAACCAAGGGTGCTAAACAATACAAGAAACACATGTAGAGATTTTTTTAATTTCATTTTCCCCCCATTCATGTATTGGAATAGCTTGCCATTAACATTTTGCACTTCTAAAATTTCCTGGGATATAAACCTATAGCACACGTACTTGCCTCATAAGCTACTTTTAAATTTGACTTGGAAAATGCATTGAATAAGCCTCATTTTGCAGTTCATTTATATTATATATTTGTATGCCATTTCCCAAATTACTGTGCCATAAATTGCTCACTGAAATGCAATGATAAACAATTAAAGTGATAAATTTGTAGTTGGAAGATGTCAATTTTGACTAGGATATAGTGGTTACCGCTGTAGAAATAGATAACGATAATTGTGGATCAAACTGGTATTTAGCTTTCAAGTAATTTTTATCCCCAAATGGGTGTATGAAATTAATGTAGTGCAATTTCAATAGGTGCTGTATTTTGTTAACTTTGATTACAGGTAGGGACAATTATGAAGAAATAAATTTACCTACATATTAGTCGGATTTTTGTTTGTCTTTGTATGAGCTCCCATAACTTCTCTAAATGACATACATTCTCATAATGTGCCAGGAATGTAATGTTCAAATCAATAAAGAAGTAGATGCCACCCCCACAAAATTTTTTGAAAAATCTGCATAAATGGAGATTATGGCCGCATTCAGAACAGTGGACTAATTAGTCTGAAGGCCAAACATGGCTGACCCACTTGAATACTTCCCCATGGAAGATCTATTCAGTGTACATTAGTGGATCAGACAGCAAGCTTTTTAGTGGGTTGCCATATTTTACCCTGGACTAGCAAGTCCACTGTTCTGAATACGGCCTCTGTGCATGCACCTGGAATTTGGAATTGCATTCTAAAAGGCTTATGGTCATATGAAACTGTTTGGTCATGTTCAAAACTTTCGGGTTTCTTTGCATTCACCGAAGAGAAACATCAAATGTATTTTAGTATTCAAACTGCATTATGTCTGTATTCTGAATATTATTGCAGCATTCCTAACATTTCAAGATGCAAAGCAATTTTTTTTGCCACAAAAGCCAACCACATGCCAGCACATATATAGTTTCAAATAGCATAACTAATAGAATTACCAAAATACAGTTTAATATTACCCCAAAAATGTTTGAACACATTTTTCTGCTAGCTTTTGAATGCTGTACATGAATGGGACAGAAAAGTAGGTCAAATTTCTGAGCAAAAAATTAAAGAAAGGAGCAATCTAAAGCTCCTTTATGGCTGATCGAGTGATTTATTCAGTTTATCCCTTGGCATGTCAATTTATTCGAGTCTTATAAGAAACCAGTAGGTGGTTTATATGTGTTACAGGGAATCCACGCTCCACAGACACTTGGTTCATGTGTACCTTTCAAATGGATGAAGAACCATATTCGGCAGGCAAATATCAAGGAATATACAAAAAATCAAATTCCAACAGCATGGTAGCTCATTCCACCTGTAGTGTGACTAGCGGTCAATTTGAATGTAGCAAGATTTGAAAAAATTATTTGTTCAACTTGGTTCTGCTCTATTCCTGCCTAATTCAAATAAGTGTGTCTAGGACAAAAAGTGTAAGATACTGAAAGAGGCGATTTGAGAAAACACTGTTGCAGGGTAGCAATCCTTTTTTGAAATTTAGGGCGCATTCCATAGATTTTAGATTGATCTATCCCCATGGGGAGTCTCACTAGATTACTGTCAGATAATTTGGCTTAGATGTCCGTCCTGCCTACAAGCTGTAAGGGGGTAATTAACTTTCGTGCCTGCTCGACTGACAGCTATTTAGCGTGAACCCCCAGGGAGTTAGGTCGATCTAGTTGGATTGATCTAATCTCTGGGAATGGGGTCTTAGACACTTTGAAGAGGTGGTTTAACAAAGGCTATTCTGGTGCTTAAATTACAAAAACAAAGACAGAACGCAGTTTTCACATAATTTCATTTTTCTCTTCATATCTCGGCTTTGTACAGAAATGTCAATTGAGTTGTAATTGCTATCAGTCTCTTAGGCTGAGAGGACACACGCGCCCCCTACTTCCTTGATTTTAGCCTCGGCAGCTTTGCTAAAAAACTTGGCCTTTACTATAACAGGCTGCTTGGGAAGGACCCCTTTGCCCAAAACCTTGTAGTAACCCTGGAATATGAAAATAAATGTTACTCCATTGCATCAAATTGCACACCTCACACAAGAGTGTCCTCAAATAAAATGTTAGTTCATCAAGTTGACAAAGACATAAGTGACATATTATATCAAAGATGTTCATTAAGCTGGATTTGGAATTTTTTATGAGAACAAATATCTATTGGAATTTTACACATGCAAAGTTTTTTAGCCTCTACAAAAATACTCACTGCTTTGATAACATCAATGACTGGTGCAACATCTGTCTTCTTCTTGTAAAAGTCTCTGGTTTGCTCAGAGACCAAGGACCACAGACGGTCCAGATTGACGGTTGGACAGAAGTATTTCTGTTTTGTCAGGTGGTAGTGACGCATGCCAACTTTTCCAAAATAACCAGGATGGCTAGAATAGACCAAAAGCAATTAAATAATGGGATTGCAATATTTTACCATGCACCTTCATTTCATAGGTTATTGTTGGTGAAAAGGTGTATTGAATTACTATCAAATTAAAATTAATTTGTTGGGTATAGAAAAGTTGAACCCTCTACCAGTGGCCCAGTTATTATTAAATTTAATCTGCACGCGTGCACATGGTATTGTACCCACTCTGCAGGAGCTCAGTGGGAGCTAGGGTTTGCACTGATGTGATTAATGCTCATTATGCAACCTGTCTTGTCTGTCTGCTAAAACTAGGAATACCCTGAAGTCACAAGCTATTCATAAGGGGCTATTTTTGTTGTCACAGAAGATCAATTAACTGTCCTGATTGCTGTCAGGGGTAATTGTTAAGTGGCAGTGCTTGAGTAGTTATGCAAACAATTAATAGCTATGTAATCATCCTCGAGATTTCATTACAGGGCCACAGTACAGAGAATTTAACCAGAAACATATCAGTAAATATCTAGTGAGAAATCAATCTGTTGCCCTGGTAGAGGGTAGAAAAGTTGTAGCAGCTGTGAACCAGGGTGACTAATCAAGTAGCTACCCAACGATGCTAAATCACTGCCTTTTACTATTGCATTGTTTAGACGACCAATACCTACAGAAATAGTGTGTAGATACTGGAGATACACAATGCTTCTTAAAAATGTCTGATTCCCCTTATATGTAACACAAATATTACAAAAACATTTGGTGACATAGCCTTTAGAAACTGACTGCAGACAAGCAATGATGCAATCTCAAGTTAAGGATAACAAAGACAATTTAACTTGAACTCCAGGAAGTATAAACTCAATTGCAAACCCCCTTGCCTACATGTGAACCACTCAACTGTTGATCAAAATGAAAACACAACAAAAGGAATGTGGGTGTAGGAGGTGATTAAAATCAAACTACATCAACGTATTTTATTAAAACTGAGGCAGTTGTCTTAGAACCTCTGGAATACATTTAAAACATGACTGGAGTAATATAAATAGTATAAGCCAACTGTTCACTTACTATTTGTCAAAGTTGATTCTGTGATGATGTTGACCACCAGCATTACCACGACCACCAGGATGCTTACGGTGTTTACCTGAAAGTCAAAGAATATAATATCAGTCTTCTGTGTTTCAAAGGTGAATTGCCATACTAGGAAACTAATGTTTTGTTCAAGGGAAGTTGTAAAATCAAGTTCCCTATAAATATGTATTATATATAATACAAAATCAGATTTGAATATCTAAACTGTTTGTAAAATACATTCACACACATTTGTGCAAGTGGCAGCACACCAAATTTTCAGTAATTTCCACTTAGTTGGGGTGCAGGTTGAATCCCATATAAGGTCCAGTATGGCAATAACAATGACTCAACAATAAACATATCATGCTGATTTCTTAAGTTATATCAAGGATATTAGTAATATATTTTGCTTTTATATCACCCTATTTTATTGGGAATGACCGTTTCCCATGTTTACTTATGACTGCACTCATTTTTCAAGTATATTGTGCTGTGTTGCCTGGTATTGCACAATTTAGTGACACCCTAAAATTGGTCTGCTTATCAACAACGTATTACAAGAGTTGAAAGGTGTGCAAACCCCCCCCCCCCTTCATGGCAGTCGCTACCAAAAGAATTGCATGTAATTTCTGAACACCTGGAGTCTTTCGGCTCGCCAGTTGGGTCAAGTAGCTGCTCATGACGACAGGAGCTAGCCCACATGTGGCATGTAAAATATCTGCAGCTAAAAATCTGTATTTAAGTTTGAATTTTATGTTCATGTCTCGGTTTTAACAATTAGCTACGATTTTTGGAAATCAAAGTTACCTACCTACACGCCCATGTCCATGACTGACATGGCCTCTAAGCTTCCTAGTCTTCTTCCTCTTGGAGGTCTAAAAATCAAAACAGAATATCTGAACAACAGACTCTATATGCACACGTTGTGGTGCTGGTTTACTATTAAATAGAGGATGCCAACTATTTGCGAAGGTGGCTTCTATACTTTTGTCCGTATCAACACATGTTGGTATCCTCTTTAGTAAACCAAACAATGGTTAACATACTTTCATTAAAATCAGATGCATATGCCCATTGCAAACAATGATGTTGCTCGATTTATTTTTATGGGCTCACAGAAACACAAACTTGGTCCTACCATTTTGGATGGTCACGAAAAAGAGGCCAACTCCTGTTTCCGCTCCAAGAATCATGGGATATGCCAAGATCAACAAACGAGGAAGCGAAGTCATGAAGTTCACATGAATGACTGAAACTGAAAAAGAAAGCAACGAAAGCATAATATGGTATGTTAGTTACTTAATATTTTCACATTTCAGGTTCAGACAGCATTTTGTATATAATCCTATTTGCTGTGAATGCTTTTGTGTGTATTTTGCCGCAGTTGTGTGACTCGGAGTGTATCACAATCAGACTACTTCAGTATATCATACTGGTACAGGAACATGTGCATTGTACTGGTACGTGTGTATTTGACATTTGTACCAGAATGCGTGTCTGCATAAATACGTCGTCCTTTATGACATACTGACAATGACGTGGTAAATTAAGAATGAAATATATTTTATTTATATTAAAGGGATAATAACTCTTCGTATGAGATCTATATTTCACAATAAAAACATTGTGAATAACTCGTAGAAATATAATATATTCTGTTTTACCACAAAAACAGCAGTTATAGCTATTATTCTGATATCTGAGCTTGTCTTTAGACCACCTGACCTCCATTGAAGGCTATACTCTGTTAAAATCTCTTAAGAGATTGTAACAAAAAACCAAACTTTTTAGAAAAAAAAACAGGGACTAACTTTGAATGTTAAAATGGATTCATTAACCATTGGTAAGTATGGGAAAATTGTTGTTTACTCCAGGAAAATTCATTTTTTGGCCAAAACGAAGAGTTGTTATCCCTTTAAGAAGCAATAAAGGTAAACTTATTTTGTCAAGCTCTACATGTACATGTACGAGCAGAATGACTACTCACCTCTTTTTTTAGGATAAATTTATCAGTATATAGGGCAAAACAGTCCTTGGTGATTTAATTAAAGGTACTAGTATACTAACTGCATTTGAAAATGTCCCAAAGTAATATTTTCTATGTTTACTAATTTTGCAGAGCCACTTATCTTTCCCCTGTTCTGACCTTAAAAACAAAGAAACCCCTCAAATAAAAAAGGTCCGAGTCTACGTGTACTGTTGTTCCTGATGTTGATTATTCTCTCTAAAAGATGACACAACAGTCTAAGTTACACGTCAGTCATTTAGAACTAAATTATTCAAATAGAAATGGTAATGAACATCAAATCCAAGGGATTGGTGTAACAATGATTTGTGAGTAGGAGAATGTTTCTTTTTTCTCTGAAGAAAATTTAATTTGCTGAGAAAACCCGAAATAGGATACGACATTACCTTTAAACAACTACTTAAAAATAGTGTTTTGTTAGGGATGAAAAGTTAAATACCAATGCACGAAAAAAAAATGAATAGTAATGTTGAAAATAATAAACTTCTATTTATTGCTCTAATTCACCATAATGTGATATAAGACTTCATAGCAGTGTTTATAGAGCAGATCAAAAGCAAGTCTATAGAGTTTCTTATTCTCTGACCTTGGTTAAATGTTTTTGAGGTATATCTGAGGTATATATGAACTGGAAATGTGAGTGACTGTACTTTTGTAAGTAACATATAAAAACTTCTTGTATTTAGTGCTAGATATATTAGTTAAGTGCTTTTTTGTGATTCACTGTTTCTTGCAGTCTATTCTAAAAATATACCGTTTACTCCTTTATTAATGAAGGATGTAAATTATGTAACATATTGAAAATCGTTTAGTGAGTCACTAAGCACTTAAAAGTGCTGAAAGTTCCTTCTTTTTTCATTACAAGCTTGACTGCACTTTTGCACAGTATAGCAAAGTATCTAGAGAAAACAACTTGTCCCGGAAAACATTGTGACATGAAGAGAACAGTTGTTAATCCAGTTTTTCAGTCAAATAGCATTTAAAATTTATTGGTCACATTTTTTCTCTGCAGCATACAGAACACTGAATATTTGAACATTCTAAATAGGTCAAATAACTCTACCCTTATATTTCAGTCAAACATTCAAATGGCAAAGCAGAGGTTCTACAGCTGGATGAAGAATGGATAGAGAGCCCAATATTAAACAAAAGAAAATGTTAGGCCAGACAACCATGCCATCTGTGTCTGAACTTCTGCTCAAGTTCAAGCAAAATGAAGAAACCAGTGGCAGTCCAGCCATAAAGAAGACTCCACCTTCTCCTTCAGGATTCAAGCCAGCTATAACTTCAACTGTTAATAAAGGTAACAGCAGACCCAGCAATCCATATGTACCGTTTAGAAAGCAGTCAAATACAAATGAAGACTTAGAGGGTGGGGACATAAAGCCAAGTGAAAGAGCAAAGTCAAAGATAGTTCTCAAACCTGCATTAATGAATATAGATAAACCAAAGGAAAAATTACAGAAAATGTCAGATACTGTCCAGGTCAGCAAGCAAGATTCCAGTAATAGACCAGAACCAATGAAGCTCAAATTACAGGGACTTCAGGCAACTGATGATGACAGTGCTGTGCCAGCAACAGTCAGTGGTAACTTTGTTCCCTGGAGTGCAATGATATTCACAAGAAATTCAGGTAGTAACATATCCGTAAGAGGAGTGAAAAACATTGTAGCTAGAAGAAGTCAGCTGTTTGACCCAGGGGCTGATCCAGTAAAACAAGGACAAAAGATGGGTGGCAGGCAAGAATATAAAAATCCAACTCCCACTAAACCAAGCCCTTCAAATAATCCTGTGGTTCTTACAGAAAAATCTGAGGTTAAACTAAGGAAGAAAACAGCTAATGTTGACAGTAGATCAGTGAAGGCAAAGTCAATGTTGTTTGAAAACTCTGGAGAACACCAGTTGACATACCCGATGTCAAATGACAGAGCTTCTTGGCGTCATAGCTGGGGGTCAGACATCATAACAAACTCTGGAGAATTGTCCCATAGACAATCCAGAGATATTATCTTGGATAAAACTCCTTTAAAACCAAGGGCAGCAAGTGACACCCAAGCTGTTTTGATAAACCATCAAGACACCCTGAAAGAAACACAGCAACCTATTTCTGCAATTTCTGTTAAACATTTGCCAACTTTTGATCAGAAAGAAAATGACCCCTCGATTATTGAAAGCAAGAAAGTGGAAAAGGTCTCTACTCATAAATTGACACCTGAGAACGATACTCCAGAAATAAAAGATTCAACTTATTCATTAGGGAAGATGAGTAATGTCAAGAATATTATATCTTCATGCAATGGGAAGACATTGGAAGTACCTCACAGTACAGCAAAACCAATGGCCCCACCCCCTAAGCCTCCCAGAACATTTGAACATGATAACTACAAAATGAAAAGCTATCTTTCCCTAAAACCAGACCCTGTTAGTCACACCAGTGCATCAGACCATGAGTATGAAGAAATAGAAGAATATACAGGGGACAATACTGCTGTATTCCACCACAATAACCGACCTCTTCCAGTACCTCCCCCAAGACCCCCTCTCCTGCAAAGACACCAAGGAACCAAGAGAGATCGGTTTAGCATAGAAATAGTAAACAGTCAAGAAAAAAGCATTGCTAACAAGTCCCCAGGCAGGGAGAGACATCGAAATGTTAAGGAAGAATGGAAGCCAATTCACCTCAGCAAGCCTGATAGAGATGACAGTTTAAAACGCTATGCAAGTGATGAGTTTATATATTCAGAGCCCCAGCTAGAACCAATAGTGGATTCCTACATCTCAGGGAGTCCATTCTATGTAGATCCAATGGAACATATGAGTATACAGTCAGGGGAGGCAATGAAAGGGGAGTGTGGTTTGGTAGACAGACAGGTGAAGCTGGATAAGTCTGGATATGCCATCCCAGAGAGCAACACCCATGTAGCACTGAAAGGGTCCCGCAGTTTGGAGGTATGTTCAATTACAGGACTATAAAGTTGAGGTTTTGCTTCCCTGATTTGACATTTAATGATTAAAAATGTTTCTGATAAATTTATCAAAGTAAAGTTCAGTGTTACATATTTTTAATTAAGAGGCATCGTCTTATTAACCTTCCCATTTTGGATGTTGAAGGGGATGGAGTTTGACGGTGCGGTAATAACAATAAAAATGTTTAAGGTATGAAAGATGTTGCATACTAAATGATTCTAATATATGCTAATCACACTTTCAATATACTTGGGTAAATGTATATATATTCAGAGCAAGAAATGCTCAATTGTAGTGAAGCAACCTCATTTAAAAAATGGTGCAATTATATTGGAAAGTAATTTCTAACATGTATAATGACCCTTTTTGTTGTTGAAATAATGCTTGAAGCAAGTGGCCACTCACTTGTACAATTCAGAACAATGGTCATAAATTTACTGATATGACTAGTGTCAGGTGGTTTAATGGACCAAGCTGTAGGCGAGGAATGTGTTACTCATACTGAACACTTCTAAAATTTGCCATTCATCCAGGGTATCCACTGGCACTGTATGTGGGTATACCCATGGACCAAAAGATCTTGTTATTTGATCGCTACAGGAGAATTTCTAGAAAATGATGTCACTGTTATTGTAGCTGTTGTGGGTGACTTGTCTTGACACAAGCTGCCGTGGGAGAAAAACAACTCTTTTATACTGGCATAAACTTTGAAATAGGAAGGGTTGCTTTATACCTCTTAAAGTCTATTCAAAGAAGGAAGTTAGTGGTAGTTGCTGTTGTCATGGATGTCACGTACATCTTTTAAATGTGTTGGAAACATATGCCATAAACATAAATTGACGAAAGAGGTAGTCTAGAAATTCCCCTTTCCAGAATTAAACACAGCATCCAATAAATTTTCAGAGTAGGCATGTTTATATTTTTTGGTGGCAAATGTGGTATTTGTAAAAGCAATCTCTAAAACAATGAATTTATTCAAATTAAAAAAAAAAATGATAGGTTGAAAAATAATCAGGGATGTGATTTTGAAATAAAAAAAAATTTTGGGATAATTGCACAACATTGTCAATTCCCCCCCCCCCCTCCACAAATCACATCCATGAATTAGAAAAATAAGTTTATGAATTATAGGACAAAACTCTTTTTAAGATAATCATATATTTTTGTGCACTTATTAGGATGGAGTCTTAAATTAAATTATGGTAATTGTTATACCTTAAACATTAATCATTGATTTGGTGACATGTCAGACCAACAAATTGGTATTAATTAGATATTTCATGCCACACAAACCTAATACATTTTTGAAAGATTAGTATTTTTACAAATGTTTATTTTATTCAGTTGATAAAATTACACTAAAACAATTGCACAAATAATATCTACAAATAAAAAAAAGAGAGAGAGAGAGCAATGCTAAACATTGTTTTGATTTTAAAATCAATGTGTTATTTCATAGAATAATGTGGTGAGAAGAAATTCTAGCAGATTGAAGGAGAGAAGGGCAAAATTACCAGATCCAATGGAGAATGAAAAATTGTTCTTTAAGAATATGCACAACTATAATGGGACAGATGCTCCAGTGATGCGAAGAAAACTACCTCAGGTTAGATTAATAATTAGTAACTCTTCTATTGATTGTACCAGAGATGTCTTCTCTCTGCCTTTGACCCTACAATAAAGCCATACATTGTCACTGTTTTTTGTGTTAACACTGTGACACTTTGACATTTGATGTTGTTACACAATTAAAGAAGTAGTAAAGAGCACTATTGCTGTAGCCTGTGTAACATGAAAATCTGACTCCTGGAGTCAAAATTTCATAAAGAAAATCTGACTCCCCCCATGAAATTTTTGACTCCCCCACAAGCCTAATAAATTTTACTTTATTTGAGTATATGACTTTCATCTTGTAGAATGCATAATGGAGGATACATTGGCACTTTTTGTTAGTTTGCAGGTGAAAATTTTCATGGGAAAATAAGAAAATTAAAAATGTGTATTTTACCACCGATGACTTCCCTATGAAAAAGCTATTTATTTGATATTTGGTGAAACTATCACCAAATATCAAATATTAAATGGCTATTTCATAGAAGAGTCATTGGGTGGTAAAATACACATTTTTAATTTTCTTATTTTCCCATGAAAATTTTCACCTGCAAACTAACAAAAAGTGCCAATGTATCCTCCATTATGCATTCTACAAGATGAAAGTCATATACTCAAATAAAATAAGATTTAAGAAGTTTTGTGGAGGGAGTCAAAGTTATGCCGTTTTTTTTTTCACTATTTTCAGCATAGATTATCCACCGTTATACAATAAAAGGAAAACCATGTGATATTTTGCTTTGAAACTTGCATGACTGATTCAAAGGTCTGATATTTAGATCATGATCAAAACTTATCTCGATTTGTTTACTTTTGTTGAAGTTATGCTGTTTCGTGTATTAAAAATGGGTTTTCCTCAGATTTAATTCTTAGGCATGTTAACAGTCTCAGTATTGAACTTATTATATTTGTAAAAGTGTTCATTGACATTTTCTGCATCTTAACAATTTTGTAAATTGCTTTATACAAATGATGGTAAACTGTTATTGTGTAATAAAGTGTCAAAAATGGAACTAAACTCAAATCAGTGCAGTTTGTCAGATTCAATCTCTCACTATTTACAGAATCTCAAATTGGATATTTAAAATTGTTTTATTGACATTTTTCCTGTCTGAACAATTTTTTAGTTAATTATTTAAAAATGAAAGTAAATTGGTTTTTATGTATTATGTTATAAGACCTTTGCTAGTCACATTTTCTAGATATCTATGTTACCTACAGTGCATGATATAAAATTGATGGTGATTATAAGCTGTTAAGCATTTTTTAACATTGCATCAAAATATATGAAAAATATTTTGTGTACTGCCACTACAAATGCTCTAAAAATAAAACTGTTACTTAATATTTTGTAACTTACAAGAATGATTGGCACAAAGCTCAAATTGGCAAACCAGCTACATTGGATTATATTTCTTTGTTGTTGTCTGTACATTTGACAGCTTTGCTGCCTTGTTGAATATAAGTTTAAATATATATAATAAATTTTGACTTTGGAATAATGTTGCTTATAAATCTTTTATGCTCTTATATGTGAACCTTATTTGTAGGTAAAGCAAAAGGTACGCCAAGCCTTTTCCATTCTACGCAGGGCTGTGAAGTCTGGTATAGATGACGACCAAGAAGAGGAGCACATCTATGATGAGGCACTGTCTGGTAAGAGTACATAGCAATATTAATTGCCTCAAGTGATGATTAGTAATGCATTAAGTTCTTATTTATATATTTTGAGAGAGAGATAGAGAGCAGAGAAAGTACAGATACACTGAGAGTACTGATGGGAATAGGAGTTGTGATAAGATGTTTATTACAGACACATTTGTCATTGGTGATATTTGTGAGTCAGTGGTGTACAGAAGTGCAAATTCTGATACAATAATCTAATTACAGGTAGTCACAGCTGTATTCATTGCTCATATCTTATAAAGAAGGCATTTTGGTATTAAGAACAGAACTAATAATGTCATTCATTTATATGAAAATTGACAATTATTCTTATTGTTATTATTTACTGATATCATTGACATTTCTGTTTTGTAATAAAGGGCTATGAGCAAGTATGGGAGTTTTTGTCAAATTTGTGGATATTTGTGATAGAAAACATTCTTTCATGTGTGTCATAACGCTATGTTGTATTGTTGTTATCCAAATTGAAAAAATAGTAGGTCATGCATGTGAATTTTTGTACTCTACTGATGCTGATATGGATGACTCCTCTGCTGCTGGTATGTATCCATGATTGACAGAATTACTCTCATATCATATGCTTATATAATGGATATATATTGTCATACCATCTATATAGATAACTGAACATGGGACAGCCATGTATTGTCAGTAATTCTTTGGGACAACCACCATGTGCAATAAGAATATTTGGGCTTGGAATGTGGAGAATTGTTTTTTTTTTTTTTTTAACAGACATAAATGTTTTGAATAAATAAATAAGGTGAGAAAGGATGGAATTCACAAACAAAAAATTCAGTGTGCACAACAATTTGCCACCCCTATCCGTTATGAAAGTTATGCTTACTTTCAGATGATACTGACAGTATTTATGATGAGCAGGAAGTCCAGAAGAAGCTCACTTATGTTCTTAGTCTCAAGGAAAAGAAGGTTAGTAGCGTTATGATAAAGGTCACAAGTCAATTCTAGATGTGTTTAGGTATGTTTAGGGACTGGAAAGATTTAATTTTGTTTTAATATAAAAAACAAATGTTTATTAAGAAATGTTTTTTATAAGATCAATACTATGAAGTGCCACTGAACCCAAACAAAATTTGGCAAATAATGAAAGTCCCCAAGTCAGGAACAAATAATTTTGAACAAATGACATAAAGAATATGGGATGAGCATAGAGCTGATATAAGTGTATGTTATATGTGCATGTTTTCAAATATGTTGGTGCTGTAGGCAAACATTTTTTGATGAATAAGACAATTATTTCATTATAAATGAAAAAATATCATACAAAAAGAAAATAATGCTTACCAGTTATAAAAAATGATTTGACAAAACTATGAATGGCAGGCATTGCACTATGATAATGTAAAGATTTCTTTGAGTCATGTAAAAGACTTCTTGCACATAATGAATATGTTTTTTTGCATCCAGCTTTCTAGGACCAGCTTTACTGAAATTTAACTATTCTGTTTCCAGTATGCAACTCTTGAGAGAACTAAAGAATTTCAGGAGAAAATTTACCCCCAGTTATTTGAGTATGCCATGATTGTGGAACTCCAGCCTGGAGCAGATGGCATGATGAGACCATGTGTGACATACAGATTTCCTCCCACAGTAAGTTTGGAATGTGTAGTGGAAATACAAGAATTCCAACTATATGCGCAATTTATGAAGGTCTTTCTGAAATATTTCTTTGGTTATTTTGATGCAATGTCACAATCTTTGTCCCTCAAGATGAATTTGTGATGACCAGCATTTTTGTACTGAACTTTACAGGAACATGTTTAGGTTTATAAACTGTCAGCAGACTTGGGATATGTCTAATAATTAACTACGTGTTATCCTTCAACCCCTCCACTCCCTAACTCACTCAACAAAATTAACATGAATATTTACTGGAATATTGTTATCTCTCTGTCTGTGTCTCCATTTCATCTCTCCTTTTTACTTATTTATATTTTACTTAGGTGGAAGAGAGAGCAGCTATTCCTCAGTTTTGTTTCCCAGATGCCCAGCAAATGAAACCAATGCTTCAGTATGAAAGGTGAACAGATGTTTTAATTAATGCTTTATAAAGCTTATAAATAAGGGAATGAAAATTATGTACAGACGCAGTGTGTCTGGATGTATAACCATCACCTGTGTCTTGAATTGCTGTGGCCATGCACTTTCCTGGAATTTTTATTTGTAAACCCACAATTAAAGGAAAACTTGCTTATTATGCTCAAATGTATGGGCATGATTCATGGGTCTAAAAAAAGCTGGAGTTAATAAAACAGCTTGATGGGATTACTTTTCTTCCTTTTTTTGTGTGAATTTTTTCATTTTTTACAAATTGGCATTTTTCAGGTGTGACTTTGAATTCTCATGGATCTTAGCCGTGTACGGGTTACATATTCTGAATGTCCACAGTATCAGTAGTAAATAATAGAAAAACTGGTTATGATTATGCTCTTAAGCATCATGTATCATTGCATCAAAATGATGAAAATATATTTTGTACATTTCTATCACTAAATTAAGCAGTATATCTCCATATGTAACTATTACTTAAGGAAATAATGGTATGAAATTAATGAAGAGCTGTTGAAATAAGCTTTTTATTGTTCTGCAACATGTTGGTATTATATATCTTAGTTGGTTAATAAGCCATATTCCTGCCCCCACCTCCTGTCTTCATCCTTAAAGTAATATACGTAAACTTCAAAGTTTATTCAATAGAAATTATTTAACAATATAAATAGCTATATTAATAAATATATTCTGTATCCTTATACAGTACTTTTATTATTGCTTGTGCTTTAAGATAACTATGTAATATTGCTTATATTGCGTTATATTGCATGTCACCAAGATATCTGGAAAATAGAACTTCTGTTCTGCTGCAAACTTACTTGAATTATGTGGTGGCCAAATAATCAGCATGTCTGAACTATGTTTGCACAAATTACCCCTTTCTTTTTCAGTAATGTTGTATTGTTTTTGCTGAAAATTTATATACTTTTAATCATACAGTTTTAAGTAACTGAAAAATGTATGGTAGCTTTAAAGATACATAGGAACCAAGCATCAAAGGAGCGTGGATTCTCAGTAATGCATATAACCTCTTCTACTAGTTTCTTATACATCTTAAATAAAGTTAAAATGCCAAGGGATTAACTGAATTAGTCAATGAGCCATAAAAGAGCTTTAAAATGACACTTCTATAAAAATTTGGTCGTAAATTGGACCTATTTATCTGACCTAATTATTTGCCTAATTATTTGCAGCAAAGCAAGCAAGTAGCAGAAAAATCCGTTCAGATATCTATTTTTTTTTTCTGGGAGGGGGGGGTCAAATGAAACAATGTTTTTGTCATTTCTCTAAATTACATTATTTGAAACTATGTGGTGATATTAAGTCCACTTTTGTAGCAAAAAATTGAGTTTTTATGCATCTTAAAATAGGTACCAGTGCCTAGTTATACACATTTTTTATTATGTATTTGACAAATGAAGCAACTGTATTTGTAAGTGTACATTTATTTGCTTTTCAAATAGCCATTATAAGATAAATTTTATTAAAAGTAACTTTTCTGGTGTTTTCAGTGAGAGCTTTTCATTTGTCTTAACTAGTGAAGATGGAACACGGGACTATGGTTTTTGTAGGAGAGTTCTGGTGAGTGTATGCCACTAAATACTATATTTGTAGAATGTGTGAAAATTTGAACAGGAATATGTGTCAGGTATTTTCAGTTGCTGGTAGCATTATTTATTACCAGAGTTAGTGCAAATGATAATACATATATTTCGTTTGACTTCCAACAAATTACAAGTACCCTGGTAGTTGCATTGCCATGTTTAAACATTTCATTTTCTGGTAATTGACAAAATATTTGTAAGAATGGTTGTAGTAAAATGTGACTCTTATATGTACAGTTAATATTAACATTCATTATTGAACATTCATTTGGTGATCTTAGTATTGAATAATATGATTCAATAACCCAGTTATTACATTTATTAAGCCCCCAGGGAGTGAACCCAGGTTGCCTGTAGTGTACTGTATAATAAGTCCTCTTGGAGCCTTTGGTCTGTACACTCAGGTCAGTGAAAATGGATTATTTATATAGAAATTAGCACTTAAAAATCATGCTTTGTTTGTTATGCTGTCCCTTGAGTCTTTTGTGTCATAACTATTAGTAAATCTTATAATGATCTTCATCAGTATTCAAGAAAAATGCCATTTTTATCAATTCTTAAATTATTTCAGCTTCTGGAAGTTATGGACATAATTCACTCTACTCAGCAAGATTCACGTAGTGGAGTAACAGAATTTATTCAAGCAGCCTTTGGTAAACCTTTACCTAGCCCAGGGAAACTTATAAGGATTAGACACATGGTGAGGGGAATGACCTGTATGCCTTCATTTTAGATTATTTTTAGGGTTATCATTTCTGAATAAAACCATTTTGATTAGCATATAGCCTGTCACAGTCTGTAGTTGTCATCAAAGATGTGCACATTTTAGCACCCTTACAGAACCATTGTTTGAAAATGGGTTAGAACTGATACTTTTTTGAAAGTTATGCTTTAACCTATATGTATCTTCATCCCTTCACTCACTTATTGAAACAACTGACTATGAATTGCTGGCACATGAGGTTAGGTGAAAAGTCTCTGTGATCAGTAGATCCAGTTACTAATTACAAATATACAGCGTACGACTATATTCAGCATTGCAGCCCAGTCATGAAATGGAGTGAGTCATCAAAAACATATACAAAAAACCAAATAGTAACATGTGTTTGATTTCATTTTAGGATGAAAATGGAGAAATTGAAACACTTGAGCTGAAGAGAAGATCAGACAACAGATTAGAACATGTGAGTTTATTCCTTTTGTTTGTCAAACACCCCCTCCTAAATGACAATAAGTAAATAATAACAAAAAAGCTGTTTGGATAAAATGAATTTAGAAATAAGAAAAAGAAATAATTTTGTTTTATGTTAATCTGTAACATTACAATCTGAGCAATACTTTAAATACAAAAGCAACACATTTTATGGAAATTATTTTTTATCCAAGCAAAATACCCATTTTAGGTGAATTATAATAGCCTGTTCCAACACCTTGGCATTCTTGAAGTGGTGAAGGTATTTGCCTCAGTATTACTGGAAAGGAGAATTTTGTTCTGTGCCAATAAATTGAGGTAATACTTTTATACAGTTACAGACTTCTCAAGTTGAGGTTAGTATGTGGTTTTAAAGACCCCAGAAAAGAGGTATTCACAATAAATCACTTTTACTACAACCAGATAAATCACTTTTCTGAGGTCTTCAAAGTGACATATTGACCAAAAGCAAAAGTCTGTTTGTTTCATTTTACAGTTCTATTCCTTAATGTCAGTCTCTTCCAAGATGACATCAAAAGTTGCATTATTGCTGTCATCCGGCATTAATGTTGTCTGATTAATAATGCATTGCTTTTTCTTTGATTTGTCAAAAAAAGTCAAACATACCATTAGTCAGTATTATGTTTGTTGATGACATTAATCAGTATTGTTTTATCAGACCTCAAATACACTGATATTAGATCAAAACCTATGCTAATAAACTGAGAAATCAGCCATTTGTTTGAAGATAAATTCTTTGACTCCCCCCCCCTCCCCCATAAGATAGAAGCTTAATTGATTGTTTAAGAGCATGCATGCCATGGAAGCACTTCAAGACATTTTTAGTTAAAATTTTTGGTGACTAAATCTCCAGGGCAAATCCATATTTATTTGTTCCAGTACATTGACAGCATGTGTGCAGGCCATCACTGCGTTACTGTACCCATTCACCTGGCAGCACACCTATATCTCTGTGTTACCTGATGGTCTGATTGACATCTGCTGCAGTCCCACTCCATACATAATAGGCATTTTGTCTGCATTCAAGGATCAATTGGATGACTTGCCACTGGAAGAGGTAGACATCTATATAGTTTTATTATAAGCTTTTTACACAGATTTTATGTCAAAACCCCTCACTCAGTATTACTCTCTAAATGCGCGACTGACAGATCCAGGAGATTGAGATATTCACAATCAGTTGTGACACCTTAAATAGCTGCAAAATATGATATGATATGATATGATATGATATAAAAGAGCACGCCAATTGGATGAGCTTCATTTAAAATTTGGTTATATTATTTAATTGAATATTAATAATACATTTTTATACTTGTAGGTTCTTATTGTTGATTTGGACAGTGGGCACCTGGAGANCTAAGCAACCGGACTATTATGCTCAAATGTATGGGCATGATTCATGGGTCTAAAAAAAGCTGGAGTTAATAAAACAGCTTGATGGGATTACTTTTCTTCCTTTTTTTGTGTGAATTTTTTCATTTTTTACAAATTGGCATTTTTCAGGTGTGACTTTGAATTCTCATGGATCTTAGCCGTGTACGGGTTACATATTCTGAATGTCCACAGTATCAGTAGTAAATAATAGAAAAACTGGTTATGATTATGCTCTTAAGCATCATGTATCATTGCATCAAAATGATGAAAATATATTTTGTACATTTCTATCACTAAATTAAGCAGTATATCTCCATAACTATTACTATTACTACATGTAACTATTACTTAAGGAAATAATGGTATGAAATTAATGAAGAGCTGTTGAAATAAGCTTTTTATTGTTCTGCAACATGTTGGTATTATATATCTTAGTTGGTTAAGAAGCCATATTCCTGCCCCCACCTCCTGTCTTCATCCTTAAAGTAATATACGTAAACTTCAAAGTTTATTCAATAGAAATTATTTAACAATATAAATAGCTATATTAATAAATATATTCTGTATCCTTATACAGTACTTTTATTATAGTCCAAGCTTGTGCTTTAAGATAACTATGTAATATTGCTTATATTGCGTTATATTGCATGTCACCAAGATATCTGGAAAATAGAACTTCTGTTCTGCTGCAAACTTACTTGAATTATGTGGTGGCCAAATAATCAGCATGTCTGAACTATGTTTGCACAAATTACCCCTTTCTTTTTCAGTAATGTTGTATTGTTTTTGCTGAAAATTTATATACTTTTAATCATACAGTTTTAAGTAACTGAAAAATGTTTGGTAGCTTTAAAGATACATAGGAACCAAGCATCAAAGGAGCGTGGATTCTCAGTAATGCATATAACCTCTTCTACTAGTTTCTTATACATCTTAAATAAAGTTAAAATGCCAAGGGATTAACCGAATTAGTCGATGAGCCATAAAAGAGCTTTAAAATGACACTTCTATAAAAATTTGGTCGTAAATTGGACCTATTTATCTGACCTAATTATTTGCCTAATTATTTGCAGCAAAGCAAGCAAGTAGCAGAAAAATCCGTTCAGATATCTTTTTTTTTTGGGAGGGGGGGGGGGGTCAAATGAAACAATGTTTTTGTCATTTCTCTAAATTACATTATTTGAAACTATGTGGTGATATTAAGTCCACTTTTGTAGCAAAAAACTGAGTTTTTATGCATCTTAAAATAGGTACCAGTGCCTAGTTATACACATTTTTTATTATGTATTTGACAAATTAAGCAACTGTATTTGTAAGTGTACATTTATTTGCTTTTCAAAAAGCCATTATAAGATAAATTTTATTAAAAGTAACTTTTCTGGTGTTTTCAGTGAGAGCTTTTCATTTGTCTTAACTAGTGAAGATGGAACACGGGACTATGGTTTTTGTAGGAGAGTTCTGGTGAGTGTATGCCACTAAATACTATATTTATTTGTAGAATGTGTGAAAATTTGAACAGGAATATGTGTCAGGTATTTTCAGTTGCTGGTAGCATTATTTATTACCAGAGTTAGTGCAAATGATAACACATATATTTCGTTTGACTTCCAACAAATTACAAGTACCCTGGTAGTTGCATTGCCATGTTTAAACATTTCATTTTCTGGTAATTGACAAAATATTTGTAAGAATGGTTGTAGTAAAATGTGACTCTTATATGTACAGTTAATATTAACATTCATTATTGAACATTCATTTGGTGATCTTAGTATTGAATAATATGATTCAATAACCCAGTTATTACATTTATTAAGCCCCCAGGGAGTGAACCCAGGTTGCCTGTAGTGTACTGTATAATAAGTCCTCTTGGAGCCTTTGGTCTGTACACTCAGGTCAGTGAAAATGGATTATTTATATAGAAATTAGCACTTAAAAATCATGCTTTGTTTGTTATGCTGTCCCTTGAGTCTTTTGTGTCATAACTATTAGTAAATCTTATAATGATCTTCATCAGTATTCAAGAATAATGCCATTTTTATCAATTCTTTGATATTTTTAGCTTCTGGAAGTTATGGACATAATTCACTCTACTCAGCAAGATTCACGTAGTGGAGTAACAGAATTTATTCAAGCAGCCTTTGGTAAACCTTTACCTAGCCCAGGGAAACTTATAAGGATTAGACACATGGTGAGGGGAATGACCTGTATGCCTTCATTTTAGATTATTTTTAGGGTTATCATTTCTGAATAAAACCATTTTGATTAGCATATAGCCTGTCACAGTCTGTAGTTGTCATCAAAGATGTGCACATTTTAGCACCCTTACAGAACCATTGTTTGAAAATGGGTTAGAACTAATACTTTTTTTGAAAGTTATGCTTTAACCTATATGTATCTTCATCCCTTCACTCACTTATTGAAACAACTGACTCTGAATTGTTGGCACATGAGGTTAGGTGAAAAGTCTCTGTGATCAGTAGATCCAGTTACTAATTACAAATATACAGCGTATGACTATATTCAGCATTGCAGCCCAGTCATGAAATGGAGTGAGTCATCAAAAACATATACAAAAAACCAAATAGTAACGTGTTTGATTTCATTTTAGGATGAAAATGGAGAAATTGAAACACTTGAGCTGAAGAGAAGATCAGACAACAGATTAGAACATGTGAGTTTATTCCTTTTGTTTGTCAAACACCCCCTCCTAAATGACAATAAGTAAATAATAACAAAAAAGCTGTTTGGATAAAATGAATTTAGAAATAAGAAAAAGAAATAATTTTGTTTTATGTTAATCTGTAACATTACAATCTGAGCAATACTTTAAATACAAAAGCAACACATTTTATGGAAATTATTTTTTATCCAAGCAAAATACCCATTTTAGGTGAATTATAATAGCCTGTTCCAACACCTTGGCATTCTTGAAGTGGTAAAGGTATTTGCCTCAGTATTACTGGAAAGGAGAATTTTGTTCTGTGCCAATAAATTGAGGTAATACTTTTATACAGTTACAGACTTCTCAAGCTGATGTTAGTATGTGGTTTTAAAAACCCCAGAAAAGAGGTATTCACAATAAATCACTTTTACTACAACCAGATAAATCACTTTTCTGAGGTCTTCAAAGTGACATATTGACCAAAAGCAAGAGTCTGTTTGTTTCATTTTACAGTTCTATTCCTTAATGTCAGTCTCTTCCAAGATGACATCAAAAGTTGCATTATTGCTGTCATCCGGCATTAATGTTGTCTGATTAATAATGCATTGCTTTTTCTTTGATTTGTCAAAAAAAGTCAAACATACCATTAGTCAGTATTATGTTTGTTGATGACATTAATCAGTATTGTTTTATCAGACCTCAAATACACTGATATTAGATCAAAACCTATGCTAATAAACTGAGAAATCAGCCATTTGTTTGAAGATAAATTCTTTGACTCCTCCCCCCCCCCTCCCCCATAAGATAGAAGCTTAATTGATTGTTTAAGAGCATGCATGCCATGGAAGCACTTAAAGACATTTTTAGTTAAAATTTTTGGTGACTAAATCTCCAGGGCAAATTCATATTTATTTGTTCCAGTACATTGACAGCGTGTGTGCAGGCCATCACTGCGTTACTGTACCCATTCACCTGGCAGCACACCTATATCTCTGTGTTACCTGATGGTCTGATTGACATCTGCTGCAGTCCCACTCCATACATAATAGGCATTTTGTCTGCATTCAAGGATCAATTGGATGACTTGCCACTGGAAGAGGTAGACATCTATATAGTTTTATTATAAGCTTTTTACACAGATTTTATGTCAAAAATCCTCACTCAGTATTACTCTCTTAGTGCGCGACTGACAGATCCAGGAGATTGAGATATTCACAATCAGTTGTGACACCTTAAATAGCTGCAAAATATGATATGATATGATATAAAAGAGCACGCCAATTGGATGAGCTTCATTGAAAATTTGGTTATATTATTTAATTGAATATTAATAATACATTTTTATACTTGTAGGTTCTTATTGTTGATTTGGACAGTGGGCACCTGGAAAATGCAATAGGTGATGAAGAAAAGATTCTGCCAAAAAAATGTCAAAAGGCCCTGATCATGGCTCTTGAAATGGGCAAAGAAGATGTAGGTAAGCATCTTTTTATTTCAAATTGCCAAGAGATGTATTAGTTTGAATATAAGGAGAACCTCTTGTTCAGATCAGGCTTATTTGAATAAAACAAATTGACTATTTGTTCCCATTTTTTTTGTGTTTTGTAAAATCATTGAGTAAAATTGTACAACACTTGGAATGCATTTATTATGATTGAATTCCTGAGTGGTTAAACCATGTCAGTTGCAATCCCTGATATCAAGAGTCACTACTTAATTTCAGAAATAGCCAGCAATTTGATGATCTCGGAATCATTCATGCGTTTCTTTGTGGAAACAGTTGGTCATTTTGAGGACCACATTGGGCAACAGCAGGATGGAGAGGTGTCATTGCAGGTAATTTTACTTTACAGAGCAATTTAAAATTTCTCCTAATTTTGATTACATTCAAAAATATCATATGCAATGAATTGTTTCTTTAACATGATGATGTGAATTATTGTTTTTAGAAAGAAGCTTTCTCCAGAGCAGCCGATTCTAAGACTTTGAGGATGTTTCTAAGATGGTTCTGTGAGACACAGCTGTTTGAAGTATTTGTCAGACAGCAGGAAGAGGAACAGAGTGAATTCAGTATGTGAATTGAAATTTAAGAGACCACATCTAAATAAGTTGACAAGAAGTGACTGAAAAAGTATATGTGAAACCAGCGAACTGTTAATTGATCATACAAAGCAAAAACAAACAAACAAACAAACAAAAAAAAAATGCATTTGATATTATTGTTTTATGAGGCACATTAGTAGCAAAAGAACATTAAAAGATAATTAGCAAGATTATATACATTTTACTGTTTTTTTTTATTTTGCAGGTTTGTTTAAAACACGGATTGCAGAATACAAGAAAGAACTTGAGGAAATGGGACCTTCTTTCAGAGATAATGTGAAAGATTTTGGGAATAAAGTAAAAAATTTAGGTAAAATGATAAATAAAATGTTACTTAAGCTTTGATCTTTTGAACTTATTGAAATGTTTATTTTATTTGTATCAACCTTCCTGTTTAAATGAATTGAAAATAAATATGCTGGTTGAAATAAGTATTGCAATTTTCTGGGTTATGCTTAACATCCACAGAAATCACTGCACATGAAATCCAATAGATATTTCAATCTTTCTATTTTCAGGGAAGCACATCAAAAAGGCATTTGTCCGTCAGAGTTCCGAAAATTAAATTTGCTCAACCAGGTCTTTGAGTCTTGGATGTCTGGTCAGGCTGAAAAGATGCAGGAGAACAAAAATAATTAAAATTTATGTATATAGGTCCTAACAGTGACTGATGTCTTGGTACATGATAGTTTTGTTTAAGCTGTGTGCATTCCAGTTTAAACTCATTTCAAAATATCAAACTGGAAAAAGGTTATTTAAAAAAAATGAATAAATAAAAAGGCAGTTTGATGTGAAGTTAATATAGAGATTTATTCATCGTGTTAGTGAGCTGTGAAACGTTGTAAATAAATGACAGGGTACTTAATATATGCGTGAAGCTAGAATATATAAGCTAAATAGAGGATCAATTGTACAGAAATAAACACCTTCCAGCATAAGGTATTATACATCCAAGTAGTTTCATTTCGAGTCAATGGTCCCCTTGTTAAATGTAAATATTAATGATGTAAAGTCTCAATTGTTTATTATTTCTTTTTTAAAAATGCATTCCAGTATTCCAGGTTGTTACATAATCAAGTTTATGTCATAAGATCAGACCGTGCAGTCAAATTGATAGCAGTGTGGTGCAAGTTCCTTTATGTCTCCTCCATCCCAAACTTCCCTTTATTAAACTGTATAATTAGATAAATGATGTCTATCTTTTACATAGACTGCATACCAGCACATCTCCTGATAGGATGTGTAGGCGAATATTTATTCAAATAGCATAAATAATTTCAGATTAATTTTATTTTCAATCTTTTATTGAATGTTTGTTGATCACTGTTACAGGAATGTAATCATATGTATAACATGTTATTGATATTATGAGATTTATTTTTTCTGTTAAGGTCAAAAATATTTAAATTTGTTTTAGAGTAAACAAGAGCTTTTTTTAAATACTGACATGCCATAAAAACATTACTTGATAACCAGGGGCAAAGTGTTGCTTTTGTCATATGTATAAATAGATTGAAAGCTCAAAAAAGCATTTGTATTTAAATAACATAGAGCAATCTGTATGTTCATTCAGTCTGTAGCATGTGCAAGAAAGGTTTTCTATTGACAATCTTTTGTTTACAATATTATCAATCCAGTTCATAGAATAATGAAAACAGCAGGTTTTGTCTATTTATTGTTAACATGGATTTAAAAATATTAAAAAATTGACATTAAGTTGACTGTGTATATTTGGTAGATAGCATGCTTTCAAGTCAATGTAGTATTGAAATATTTTTGTGAAAATCAATTATATTGCTTTGCATAAAATCATGTTTGCCAAATATATAGTTGTACACAAATTAAATTGTACTTCCTTTAGCTAGTGTTTACCTATATTATAGATGTGCTTGCACGGTTGAAAGAAATTTCAATGTTCCAATGCAGGTGCATTTATTGAATGGGCATTCCTTGTGCAGATCTAAGAAATATTAGTAATTCACTTTGTGCCCCAATGAATGAGATTAATTTCATAATGGAAATGAATTGGCAGATAGTGTATTAAATGATAAAAATCTGTGTACTCATATGATATTAGCACAAGGTATAAGATAATGACTGATCTTTTCAATGGGCAAATATTATCAACTTTTCAGATACATAATTTTATAATAACAAAATTATATTTCTGTATAGCATTTGTGATGCTTTTACTGCATAGAATATGTTTATAGAATAACCTGCTTTTAAATTTGGTTGCTACCACTCAGTAAATGTGATTTTAAGAAATTATGACGTAAAAAATACAGTATCTGTAAAATTCACAATTTTTCTCAATTGAAAAGAGAGTAATTAGTGTAACTTTTGGAAAACTGATGCAAAATCATAATTCCTCTCTTTGACAGTTTATGTTATTATTTGCATAATTAAGCAATGTGTCATAAGATAAACACTTCACACTTACACTACGTACTTCAGAAAACTTGGATCAGTTCATCAGAATGAATAGATGGAATAAATAACCAAAGATAATGAGCAGTTCATCAGAATGAATAGATAGAATAATAGATAGAATAAATAACCAAAGATAATGAAGATGGATTCAATATTTCTTGAAAGCAGTCACTTTTGAATTTAAACATTCATGCAATAGAAAGAAACGGGCAAAGCATAACAAATTATCCAGAGCTAACATACAATTGTACTTAAGCTGGTCTTAAACATAGTAGTTTAATAAAGGATGCAAACCCTTTGGAATAATTTCTCTTGTTATTCATACCAACAAAAGGCTCTTCAAATGCCTCTAACTAGTAGCCCTTACTCTACATGCTTAGCACGTCATGATTTTCAAATGCTACATAGACTTTTGTTCCACTTTATATCTATCACTGTTGTACATTCCTATTAAAACCCCCGTCACACTAGAGGCAGAATGAGCAAGAATGCCGTCGGAAAGACAATTCTTTGTGCATTCCTGGATATTCAAAGAGCATTCTAAAAATTCCAAGTGCATTTCAAATATTTTTACCTATTCTTGTGGTCGGCCTGAATGTTAAAAACTTTCGAAGTGCATTCCAAGTGGAAAATTATTGAATGGCATTTGAATAGTATTCTAACTACACTATGACTGCATTTTAAATATTCTAACTGCATTCTGGCAACATTCGAAACATTCTGATCACATTCGAGGGACATTTGAACTGGCACGTGACTTAAGGCTCCCGTCACACTTATCCGGAACCAGCAGGAATCAAGCAGAACCAGCTGGAATAAATTAATTGAAAAATTAGTGCCATAATCGGGAGGGAATATTGCGAATGTTGTTAGAATGCAGTCAGAATATTCCGAATGAAATTTAAATGCTGTATGAGTGTGGTTTGACTGCTGGCCGGATACAGGCTGAAGTATGTAAGAAGGTGCCTCGAATGATATACGAGGCGAGCTCAAATACAGTCAAAATGCTCCCGGTATGGCTGCCAATGATGGTTTGAATTATAAAGAATTCAAACAGAATGCAGCTGAAATACCTAAAATACTTAAAATTACTTTCTAACATGTTAAGAATGTAACATGATGCCAAGAGTGTATAAATAACGCCACTGGAATGGTAACTGATCAGAATGTTTCGAATCATGACGTGCTAAGCATGTAGAGTAAGGGCTACTAGTCGGAATGCCGTGAGAATATTTAGAATGCAGTCATAGTGCAGTTAAAATACTGTTCAAATGCCATTCGATAATTTTCCACTTGGAATGCACTTCAAAAGTTTTTGACATGAGCAAAACATTCGAGCCGGCCACAAGAATGGGTTAAAATACTTGGAATGCACTCGGAATTTTTAGAATGCTCTTCGAATATCCTGGAATGCACAAAGAATTGTATTTCCGATGCCATTCTTAATCATTCCGCCTCTAGTGTGACGGGGGTATAAAATCCCGCCAGAATGTTTTGAATGTGCCTCGGATGAGCTGAAATATTAATTTTGCCAGCAATCGAACTACACTAGTACGCCATTCAAAGTACCTGTATATTCTAAATATTCTTACTGCCTTCTGACAGCATTATATATATTCCTAGTTTTCCAACTACATTCAAACTGCATTTGAGAGCTAATACGAAAGTGCACTTATCATTCCAGGCAAATTCAAGCGCATTCTGAGTATTCCAACGGTACTCTTACAAGAATTAAGGTCAATTTGAACTTTTTTCCCCGGATGTGGTGCGGATTTTTAAAATTATTCATTCAGCCTCATTCTTCTTGATTCCTGCTGATTCTAATTAAGTGTGACGGGGCTATAATGTAAAACATCTTGGGGTGATTTCTAAGTCTCAGATGGTTCTTCTGGTGAAAGTGTTAAGCTTGTGATATAGTTCTTGATACAGCATTTTAACAAGTAAAATTTTAACAAGTAGAGGGCATTTTAATAAAAATTAAACAAGATAAATCACTTGAAAATCCTAAATTGGTGTAATTTTATTTGAAAAAAAAAAGAAGACCACTTATAATAACAAATGCCCTGATAAAGATTATGTACATTTTATGTACATTATATGTTATATTAATGTTTCCTGATGCTAAATTTAATATACATTTTATCAGTTTTTTTATGTATCTTTTTATCTTCATGGATTTATGGGGATTTTTCCCATGAAAATTTTAAAAAATGACCAAATCACATAACTTATATTATAAAATAGGATCTTTTTAAGAACCATGCCTGTACTACATTACTCTTTGGCTAAAGACTTACAATTATTATATGAAGGCTCAATTTTTTGAGAGAACTTTTAACACAAAATAACTTAAACTTTATTAATTCTTACAGTAAAGACACATTGCATATAGTTTTCCACTTGGTGCGAAGATCAGCAGGGGTTCTCTCCTTGTCGAATTTGAAACTTCTCAATATCACTTTCCAGTTGTAACCATGTTGGCGTACACCTCTTTTTAGTCTACGCAATTCACACAATGAGAATGGTTTGAAAGAATGTAGAGCTAGGCCTTGGTTACTTCCCATGTTCTTTTCTTTCTGTAAAGTCCATATGCTATAATGTTTAAATCTTGTTTTATAGTTGATCAGGAGATGACAGAACACTATAAACTCAAAAAGATTAGTAGACTTGTGATACACTTGTATGTAGTAGAATCTCAATAGTTATCACTACTAATCAAAAGTTACATTTGGTCCCAAAAAATATGAAAGCCAACTTACCTTAAGTCTGTAATATTTCTCTTTTAAATCTACTGAAGTTCTACACTGATGAAAAGGGTATGTGCATAGAATTTGGTTCCATCTTGTTCCTAATTTACAAACACCCTCTGTCAAGTAGCTCAATTCTTTGTCTGTATAAGGTTTCCTCTGTCTGCGTCTTGGTATGGTGGACTTAGGTTTTAAATTGAATGAAATGGGACTGGAAGGTGGTGTTACCTAGCATAACAAATTTTGCACTCAATAAAACTGATTTTGAGAATAACTCCTGGTTGCCATATCATTTGCCAACTTTTTATGTTAGTTTATCAGAAGTTAAACATTCAAGGTGTTATACATGTATGATCATAGATGTAGAAATAATATTTCAAACTCACCTTTTTCCCTGAATCATCCTCTGTTTCTGAACTCAGAAAGTCATATACATGTATGCTCTTATTTCCAGGTTCACTGAACTCTGACAAAGGTTGTCTTGGTATTTTTTTCCATGTTTGTTTCTTCTTTGCCACTGATAAATGATGCCGTTCCACATTTCTCAGTAGCCTGTGCTTGACACAAGCATACTGACTTGTCTCCAGTGCAATGTTGAATGTTTTACTATTCAGCACAGGGCATCCAATTACTTCTGGTGTCTGACAACCTAAAGAAAAGTATCATTCAAAACTCTCTTTCTGCATGACTACACGCATTTTAAAAGGATTCATAAAAGTGTATAATGATTAAAGTTACATTTGATTGAAGCAAGTATGGATTCCCTAAAATGCATATAAAACACTACTAGTTTCTTATACAACTCAAATGAGGTGAA